GATCAAGGTTCAAAGCCAGCCCCGACAGACAAATCTGAGAGACTTTTATCTCCAACTAACTAGCAAAAAGCTGTTAAGTTGAGCTGTGGCTCACGTGGTAGAGTAAGACTTAAACAAAAAAGTGTGACACCCTGAGTTCAAGCCCCAGTACAGGTATGAGGGAGAGAGAGAGAGGGAAGGAGGGAGGGAGGGAAGGAGAAGAGAGAGGGAGAGAGAGGGGAGAGAGGGAGAGAGAGGGGAGAGAGAGAGAGAGAGTGCATCAGGATCATATCTGTAATCCTAGCTACTCAGGAGGCTGAGATCTGAGGATTGAAATTTGAAGCCAGCCTAGGCAGGAAAGGCAGTAAGACTCTTATCTCTAATGAACTACCAAAAAACTGGAAGTGGAGAGGAGAAGGAGAAGGAGGAGGAAGAGAGGGGAGAAGAGAGAGATTATACACATATAAAGGGTCAAGTTCTTTCATAAACCCCACTTAGATATTTATTAAGTATTACAAAGGTATTTATTAGACAATAGAGAAAATCTGAATGCTGACTGGCTGGCTGATGTTTTTAAGGAGTCATCATTTTTTTCAAGTATATTAATGGTATGGTTGTGATCATTTCAAAAATGGACTTTTGGAATTATTAAATAAGTTCAATAATTATATTCATTGTGGATTGATAATGTCGATTTTCAGTTTTCAATTAATTATGTCAAAAGCTAATTTGACATTCATTTGTATGGTCTTACTGAAATATCTATGGGCGAAATAAGAGCTTAGGTACATACAAGCAGTGCAGAAGGGAGGAAGAAGGGAGGGATCCTCACAGTGAGCCTGACTCACGCCTCCATCATTGTAGAAACTGGGTGACAGGCACCGGCCACTTACACCAGGCTCCACCTCGCCCCCTGTATGTAGACTGCCAACCACAACCCAAAGTGAGCAATAGTCTCAGGAGGCTGAGATCTGAAGATTGTGGTTCGAAGCCAGCCTGAACAGGAAAGTCTGTGAGACTCTAATCTCCCATGAACCAGCAAAAAGCCCAAAGTGGAGCTGTGGCTTAAATGGTAGAACACAAGCCTGGAAAGGAAAACACTAAGAGACAGCACTCAAGCTGTCAAAAGAAAGAAAAAGAAAAGAAAAGAGAGAGAAAGAACAATTTAAATATGAGTGTTTATCAATTCGGTAGCTAAAAGAAGGGCTATAAGAATTTCAAAGCTGGGGTAGTATCACTAGGTTATTGTAAAATATAATTTGAGTAGTTCTTCAAAATCCAAAAGGAGCTGCAGACATAGCTCAGTGGTAAAAACAGATGCTTGGCATTCTTGAAGCCCTGGGTTAGAGCGCCAGGGCCACCACAAAATAAATAAAATTAAAGTAAAAATAGTGCGTGTGGACTGGCAAGTTTAAGTTTGAGTGGTTTGGTTAATTGGCACCCATGTTAGAAAGATTTCAATGTTTTTCTAGAAGACAGAAAAAATGTATTATGTTGCTGGGCACCAGTGGCTCATGCCTGTAATCCTAGCTACTCAGGAGGCTGAGATCTGAAGATCACAGTTCGAAGCCAGCCTGGGAAGAAAAGTTCCCGTGATAATTAACCACTCAACACCCTCCCCCCAAAGAAAAACAACAACCAAACAAACAAGAAGAACAGAAGTGGCACTGTGGCTGAAGTGGTAGAGCACTAGCTTTAAGCACAAAGAGGCTGAGGGACAGAGCCCAGGCCCACACACAAGTGACAAAAGAAAACAAACATATATATATATATATATATAATATATATATATATATATATATATATATATATATAATAACTACCTTAGTCAAAGAAAAAAAAGGGAAACAATGAAATACAAGACCAGAATGATTTCGACAATTATTTGATATCCTTTGAATCTGCCATGCCAGTGCCTGAGGAAGAAATGCAATCCATATGTGATTTAAATGAATTCTTTGTACCAGTACTAGGGTTTGAACTCTGGGCCTTCTGCTCTCACTTGGCTTTTATCTTTTATTATTATTATTTTTTTTTGCCAGTGTTGGATCTTGAATTCAGGGCCTGGGCACTGTCCTCAAGCCTCTCTGTGCTCAAGGCCAGAGTTCTACCACTTGAGCCATGGTGCCACTTCTGGCTTTTTCTGTGTCTGTGTCTGAGGAATGGAACCCAGGGCTGCATGCATGCTAGACAAGCATTCCACCACCTAAGCCACCTTCCCAGCACTGGTGCTCTAACACTTGAGCCACACCTTCACTTCCAGCTTTTTTTGCATCTTGATCCTCAGATCTAAGCCTCCTGAGTGGCTAAGATGACAGGATGTGGGCCCCTCAGAGCCTTGTTTAGACTAATTCTTTCTTTTCCCCCTAGTACTTGAACTCAAGGCCTGGGCCCTGTCCCTGAGCTTTTGTGCTCAAATGCTAGTGCACTACCACTTGAGCACAGCTCTACTTGTGGCGTTTTTGGTAGTTCATTGGAGAGAAGTTTCACAGGTTTTCCTGCCAAGGTTGGCTTGAAATCAGGATCTTCAGATCTCAGCTTCCTGAGTAGCTAGGGTTTTAGGCGTGAGCCACTGTATCTGGCTAAACTAAGTGTTCTTGATTTGAGGTTTTAAAAAATAGCGACAATCCCAAACTTAGAATCTACTTTTTAAAAAAAAAAATCAAGCATCAATTTGAAACATCTTTAGGGTACAGTTTAAAAATGGACCAATTTCAACAGGTGTTTCTCTACCAGTAAATTAGTAAAAGTGGAAGGGAGATGAGACGTTCTAAGAAGCCAGGCTTTCCCTCTGGAATCTGTGGGGTAGCAGGCAGGAACACTTGGGGACACTGTGTCCTGTTAATTACCCAGGAGCTGGGCACTTGGTGACTAATGCTTATCCTAATTACTCAGGAGGCTGAGATCTGAGAATCAAGTGTCAAAGCCAGCCTGGGTAGGAAAGTCTGTGAGACTCTTATCTCCAATGAACCACCAGAAAACCAGCAGTGACGTTGTGGCTCAAATGGTAGAGCACTAGCCTCGAGCAAAAGAGCTCAGGGAGAGCACCCAGGCCCTGAGTTTAAGCCTAATAACTAACCCTCCACCCAAAAAAAAAAAAAAATTACACAGGAGATCTTTCCCAGGGGGCTCTGCTCTCCCTATCTCATTAATAAACAGAGAATTAATCAAAGTCCAAAGGTTGGAGAGACAGATGTACAGCTGGCAAGACTGAGTTCAAGTTCAAAGTTAGACTAAGTTCAAGTTCAAAGTTACCCTTGCTTGAGGACAGGGCAGCAGACCTGTGGGCCATTACCTTCCCTTCTCAGCCAGGATAGCTAGACACAAATTCTTTTCTGGTGCTCAGAAGTGGACTTCCTGGGCTTTGCAAAGACAGTCATGTGACAACTAGGAAGGAAACACCTTCAGAAACAGGAGGAGGAAACTTGTTCCAAGACTCCCAGGAGAGCTGCCTGGAGGAGGAGGTTCAGAGGTTAACTTGCCCGCAGGCCCTTTTTCCTACTTTCCAGTAAATCCTCCGAGGCAGCAGTGTGAGGTTCAGACTCTCATTTCTGGTAAGGCTTGGCCCGCCTAAGGGCCGGGTGGAGCCATCCCTGCGGGCTCCTGGCTCTCAGGAAGCCTGAAATTCTCCTGTGTTTGCCTCAAAGATGTCCATCCAGGCCACCCCTTGTGTCCCTCTAACTATAACCTTTAACCTAAGGGTGTAGGCACCGGGGAACTGGACAGAACTCCAGCAGCAGCAGCAGCAGCAGCGTGGCAGAGGGCTGTGCCCGGCTCGCAGGACTCTCCCCGCAGGACAGAGGCCAGCCCTGCACTCCACCTCTCCTGGCATGGCTTGGTCTTTACTCAGAGATCTGACTTCAGAGCTGCCTGGAGGGGGGTGGGGGGACCCCTCTGGACATCTTGGCACCTCCTCATTTCCCAGGAGCCTGACCTCTGCAGGAGGCACACCTCTGAAGAGTCAGGCGGGGTGAGGTGTGAAGGTCATCAGCCAGCTGATGACCCCCGAGCTCTGGAGAACAAAGCAGAGGGGCGGTATGTGGTGTGTTTCCCACTGGATTCCGGCCCCTGTGTGCCCAGGGCTGATTTAGATCCTGCAGCCCTACCAGGCCTCTCAGGGTGGTGGCCAGGGATGCCAGTGCAATGCGTGTGTGCGTGAGTGTGTGTATGTGCGTGCATGTGTGTATGTGCGCATGCGTGCGCTCAGTGCCAGTCCTGGGGCTTGAACTCCAGGCTCGGGCACTGTCCCTGAGTTGTTTTTAGTTTTGCTCAAGCCTGGCATGCTACCACTTGAGCCACTCACAACCACAGCTGCACTCTCGGCTTTCTGTGAGTAGTTTATTATAAAAGTCTCATGAACTTTTCCGGGGCTGGCTTTGAACCTCCGATTCTCAGATCTCAGCCTCCTGAGTAGCTGGGGTGACAGGCGTCAGCCACCGGCGCCCGTTTAGAAGTCACAATTCCTGACAGCACCTGCAAAGCCATGCCGCCTGCCCGGCCTCGGGGAGGGGGGACCCCCCGCTTTTACTTCGCCCCTCCCGGGCAGGCTCCCGAGCCGATCTCCACACCGGGGGACCGGCCTCGGCGCGCCCGGGCCTGGCGCAGGGGCGCGGCC